GAAAAACTAAAGAGCTGCTACACAAACGATCATTATATGCTTGATATTGATATAGCCATAATCTAGGTATCCATGTGAGATATAAACTACAAGAAAACAAATCCCAGCCAAAGTTAAAGAGGAAGAAACAGAAACAGAAAACGGGAAAAGTCCTGGGTAGAAAGAGATCCAATGTTGGTAAATCGATGCAGCAAACATAAAATGAAAAATGCGAACAGAAGGTGTAGGAAAAGATAACTCAGCCAAATAAATACCCACGCGCCAATATAAGATCAATAGGCACAAAACACACAAGGCAATAAGCAAATTCTTCACTTTTGTGACTTCGGAACAGCAACTCCCGCACCAATAACGCTCGGCAACTCCTCCATTCCAACACTAAAGAGCATCTTGATACCTCCAGCAATAGAAAGAACCATCAAGATTGAAATCCCAGCGATAATGTAGAATGGAATACTGACGTCCTTCTTCTGGCACGCAGGCCCTCCCCATTGTACGGTTTTCACGCTTCCATCCTGATTCGTACGTATGACGGTTCGGCCGCATTTGCATGCATAGCAGTCTCCCTTGGAGCCCTCCTTGGATCCGAATTTACGGTAACAATAACCATGACCGGAGCAGCTATTGGTCACCTCTGTGCAAGTTCTGTTGTCGGTGTAGCAAAAGGGCATCATAGTGGACGGGAATTTGTGGCCTCGCGTCATATCATTTGCGTCTTTTGGCTGTCTGGGCTCCAGTACGCTGCGTTCTCTTTCTTCGTATTGGCGGTTGGAGGTGTGGTATGGTGGGACAGTATCGGCAAATATCATTGTGGATTCTTGCCTGGATTCCTTTGCGAGGATGCTGAGTTCCGCAAGGGTTGAAAAGACCGTCTTTCGGACAGCTGGGGTATTTGACTAGGAAGCAGTGATATGTTAGTGGCTGAAGGTTTATGTTTAATTTTCTTCTGGAAGGGGCTTTGCAACTCACCCCAGAAGATATCCTTAGTATAGCGGTTGTATGCTCGCCTCCCCAGGACCGGGCACCTCGAGCCAAGAATTTGAGAAATGCTGTTTCGCTAAATCTCGAGGTTCCTGCGGGGAAGAGGTTATTCCCCGAAGGACACTGACTCGTATACTAACATATATAATTCGTTGTTAACAAGCTGAAGTGAAGAAGTTAGCTTTAACATAGAGAACTGGTTCCTACCAGAATTAGGGATCCCCGGAATCCACCTTCTACATCGAAATCGAATGGACAAAGTTTTGAAGTGGTTCGCACTGTGGAAGATTGAGCTAGTGATTTTTTGATAAACGAGTCATCGACTAGATCATTGGGCGCAGTGGGAATGGTAAAGGAGTTCGAGGAATATTTCGAAGCGGAGGCAACTAATTGTGCTTGAGTTAGGAAGTCCCTTGCTAAGGATCAATTTGCACCCACAACTTACGATCAGGAATATCAACACCTTCCCACACAAGTAGCAACTTCGAATAATCGCCATCAGACATTGCATCTTTCATGATAGGCGTCTGTTTTCCCCCAAATGTATTCAGGTCCCGGATGACAGTCTCGTCGACAGAACCTAATGTTGAACTTTCCGACAGCCCTAATCTGCTAATTAATATAAGTCTGGCTGTCTCTGGAGTTACTACCCGATTAACCGGAGGCACAGGTGATTGTTGCGGATCAAATGTGTAAGCTCTAGCATCGTAGGCTACAACGCCGGTGATCGCAGAGAAAGGGAGAACGAGGAGGGATATGAGGGGCCTCATGCTGCAATGTGGCTGGTTGACAGCTGGACCCGGCTGTGGATGAAGGACAAAGCGAGGACCGGAAGAAGCCAACCAATTCCCAGGAAGGCTAGATCTGTAGAAGCTGGTGATAATCGTAATAAACTCGTAGTGGTTATATGTAGATTGCTCTCTATCATTGCTTGTCGGCTGATGCTGGAGTTGATGTTGAAAGCTTCCAATCACAAGCTTAGCAGCAGCGTTGCCGTCTTAGGTTTAGCGTCATAAAGTGTCGTCGGTCCGAGGGCATTCCCGCAAATTCGTCGTTTGCCAAACTTTACCCTCAATACACTTTGCTTTCTTTTGAGCATGTCCCGCAAATTCGTCAATAGTCTCTTACTACAATTCACACTTCAAAACATGATTCTACATTTTATTTATATATATACACTTTACTTCGGACACGTTTTAAACTCGATTGAACCCATATTTTTCCTGAGCATGACTGTGGAGGGAAGTAGCAATGACTTCATTGGACTTTAGAGCCATGGCGAAGACGAACCGTAGTTGAAGCTGAGGCCTGTCCAGAGCTATCAAGCGTCACACTGAAAGTAGCGCACCCACCGTTGCACCTGTCGAGTAGGACTTGAAGCGTATTCGAATCAGTTTTGGTGGTGACCCAATTTACAGAGAACACATTCGAGACTTTATCAAGTACGATATACGGGCTATATTTGAAACGCCATTCTAAAAGACTCTTCGCAGAGCCCTTTCAGATTATAGAAAGAGCCAAGGGATATATCCTTAATTCTTCCTAGCAGATCGCTCATTGGTGAGTGTTGATCTTCAAAGTTAACTGAGTGCATTTTTATTTACTCTTGGACGTGAATGTTTGTGCAGATTCTTCGGATTCGTGGAGTTTATTTATTTAATATCAAGAGACAAGGGATATGCGGGTGCTGCTTGCTGGGGGTGAGGCCCTCTCATTGTTGAGATACTGATTTTCAAGACCTGGATGAAGAAGATCCAACCGTGTTTGGAGTAAATCGAGAGACAACCACTTGCCGCGACATTCTGGTGGTCAAGGAATGGCGAGACCAACAACAGGTTGGCTAAACACGGAGGAAACTGCTAGAAAAATGGGATGCGGGTTATTTAACTCCTCTGGTGTGAGCGATAGGCTCCCATGCTTAAGGTAGAGCGAACTACAGAGCCTCATCACTCTTGACACCTTTACACCAGCGCTGCCTCTGACTTCAGAAATTCTGGCAAAAATGTGTCATCCTGCATAATGATAACTTTTACTCCTCAATGAAACCTATTAAGTTTATTCACTGCGGAACCAAAAGTCTTTGGATCGCCCGGCTTAGAGGGTAGGCTCCGACGCCGTGTACGTGACTTAGGCGCCATGGCTGCCTTGAATAGCAATACATCGTATCGTGGTGATAAATAACTGGGATTTTACCCGTCACCACGGATTGAGCTGATCGCAGAACCCCTTAGCCGAGCGGACGCCCTTATGAGACCTATAAGGGAAAACCCGCTTTATGCTCGAATCGCCTGAGGACTAGCCAAGTCAGTTGGCTACATTATTATCATATGACATAGCCAAGGACTTCCCTATGTGTATGATGAAGATCAGTCTAGAGGTTCAGAACTAATTATGAAATTATTAGCCTCTACAGCCAAAATGGGAGCCTGTCATTAGGCGCTTTTGGACGGAGACAAAAGTTAAACACCTGATTAGTTTAAACAGAGTTCAAAACTTTAAATGTAAACCCGTTTTCGTTTTCTTTATTTCCAACGGCCCCAACGATAGCAACACCAGCCGAATCTGCGTTTCCACAGCTTTGGGTTGCAAGTCCCCTTGATGAGATCATGGCAAGCGGGGTATATAATCACTCTAGGTAGATCATCATCGTGTGCCACATACCACCATGATATTTAGTTATACAAAGTCTTTAAGTTTTCCGTTTCACAAAGAAGCAAGGCCCAGAACGATCAAGTTCGCCTGATAGTTTGGGAGACAATAATAAAATTAAAGCGCAAAGTTTTGGGTCAACGGATCTAATTAGATCCCCGAGATCCGTATAAATAAAACGATTAAGTTATATTTTCTTTCTTCTACTCCTGGGTTACCAGCGCTTTAGGGTGAAGAGTTGAGAGTGAAATAATGCAGTTGAGTTAAACGTTGTGTTTATCTGATCCATGGAATTGTGGATCACGCTATCTCCAAAGAGGCTTAGCAGAAATACTTTAATTGACAGCCGCTCAGCTTTAATTTGTTCAACTGATTATTCTTCGATTCCCTGTCATACATACCTTAAGAACAGTTAACGGCAGTTGAGCTAGCTGTACGGAGTACGATGGCTAAATATGTAGAAAGACCGATATGTTTTCTTCTTCCTTTTCCTTTCCTTTCTTTTTCAAATTCGAGATAGCACCAAATCCTTCCGACCTGAGTACAAGAACCTATATTTTCCCCCGGTATCCCCCCGTGTGGATTAATTTTGAAAATTGCCATTCCTATGGCTTCTTCTATTCAATTGCAAGCTATCCAACGAGGTCCCGACAACATCACCGTGTTTATTTACTTGATTCCCAGCCAGAAAGGAATAGCTAGCCTATTATTGAAGTAGGAGTCAGAAAGGAGGTTGTATATCCTTAATGCCTCTCTCCACGGGATTCCCATCTCATTGAAATATGGCTAGCCTTCCGCAATGGGGTCATGAAGTGTGATACTGCCCGGATATAACCGGCAGTTTCCTCCGTAACTAAACAATAAATACTAAATAGATAATACAAATAATGCTAATAAACAGCAGGATTCCGATCTTTTGCCCTGAGCACCTTTGGAAGTACATACGGCGCGGTCAAAAAGCAAGAAACAGAAATTTATACCAAAGTTTCTCAAGGTTGGGCAGTGGGACAGTTGTATTTTGCAAAAGTAAAAAATCACGTGACTATTATCTTGGCAACCGTGGACAGTAAAATAAGATCCAGTTATTGTTGATGTGGAGGGTTTGTGCAGGAAAATAAGTCTGAAGAACAGACTATATCACTTCTATATCTTCCACATTCTAATACTTGCCAATCTCCTAGTTTCTTCATAGATTTTGCATTGATAATCATTATTCTCTGTTTATTTATTCACAGTATCTGGCAAAATCCTGGGATTGCAGCTGTCCCAAATGAGCCTCTGATATTGTCGTCACGCTCCGTCCTTTGTCTCCCCTGAAGGCACAGCCTTTCACAACCAAGAATGAGAGCTTAGAGATAGAAGTTGCTCAAATGCTTCGGAACTTTAGACGGGTCGCTCCAGCCTGTCGCCTCCGAGTGCCCCAAACCATCCGACGGTCTTTTACTAGCTACAATGGGATCGTGCAAGTCCAGCGAGTGAGGATCAAAAGGCCATTAAGGTACGTCTAATTCAACCAAATTGAGTAGCATATATATACAAACTCAAACTAACTGGCACACTAGGAGAGGTGCATCCACGATTCTGGCCGTCATCATCGCAACCCAAGTCTATGGTGCAATTTTAGGGCCTACGTTGGATCGTTTGGTGGCGAACGATGAAAGTACTGCTGAAGAGCTCAGCCTAGAACAGCAAGTGGATACTGAAGGGGATGACAACCTCCAGAAGCCGGGTATACCATTCATCCCTATCGGGTTGCCGTATACCGTACCTGGAGAACTATACGGCGAAGATGATCCCGAGTGGAAAACGTTCGAGAAATTCGCAAATGACAATGAACAATTCATTAAATTGAGAAGTAGGGACTACTCCAACCTTTAGAATCTTTCTTATCAAAACTTCAGTTCCTAACCTTTCTTCCAGACGATTTGTTAGATAGAGCAACCGAAATAGTGAACGAGAAGGTAGCCAAGACAGTTACCGATGTGACTGGTACACCTCTGAAACCTACTAGAAGAACATCCATTAAATTCAATTTTCCCACTCAGAAACCTCTCGGCTATGTCCAACCCGGGTAAGTAACCCGATTACGAAATCGATAGATAAGCAGCTTGCTTTTGCTGATGCATTATATATAGCCTTGAGTTTAGAGGAGATGATATATCTTGGACGACTCGCCCAATACCTAGGAATCGGGGAGAGTGGATTCGCAGCATATTCGAACCTTGGTCCCTCATGACATCATCTTGGGCTGCTGGGGAGTATTTGTTTACAGCGAAAATAGCGAAGCTTCGAAAGATGTTGGGAATTCCCCAGACAGAATCGTCAAACAGACGGACAACAAATGATCAAAGTCACATAGCTTCACCAAAAGATACAGATTCTGCTAGTGCATCCAATTTTACTCGATCCATGACATATCCCCTGACGTCTAACACGGGGACAGCAGATCTTACCAAATCTGGTGGCTCCACAGAATTTCAATCTTCCAAGGCCAGCTCCGCTTTGCAGAACCAAGCTGGGGTACCAAGAGAGCCAATCTCTGACGTTCGCATCGCAATAAAGATATTCAAGCTATTTCTCCTGCTGTCCCGGCGGAAGACACAGAACAAAACTCCGCAACAGGGGTCCTTCAGGATGAATGGTATTGCTCTCTTCTCAGGGCCAAAGGGGGGTTGCGAGGTCCATATCATCGGTATTTATGAGCCGGCAAAAAAGAGCTGGTATGAGGTAAATGTTCTCGTTCTTAACACCTTCCCTTACAGATCAAAATATCTTAATTGTGTCCATAAACGGCACTCTCAAGAAAAAGGACTGGACGATTCTGCTGATAAGAGCTCATAACCACCCAAGATGACTTTGATGCGAAGTTGTCTGTAAATTTGCTACGTCTTTTCTTTTCTTTTCTCTTTTCCTTCCAGCCATCTACTCACCGCTTTGCTATGCGCCAGTTATTCCTCCGGCGTTTTCTCTTCAGGTGCTTACATTTTACCCTTAACTCTCAGCCGGTGGATATATATGATCTTCTTGATAACCCCACGTTTGTTTTGTTATTTTTTGCATTCCTGTCTCTCTATATTGGCTGGTGGCGGCGTTCTATATGGTTTGCACAAGGTAGCATGTTGGCAAAATTCACATATGCAACAGTTTTTACCCTCTGCGAAGTGGAATGTGAGCATTATTCTTACTTTTTTCCTGGTTTCCTAGCTTCCAAGCTCCAGACAATATATATAGAAATGTAATCAATCGCAATCGGTCATGCAATTTCCCATATTTTTAGTATGTTTAGCAGAAGAGAGTGACGGCGGTTAAAGCGCGGAAAACCCCTGGAGATCTACGGCACCCTCATGTAAAGATGGGGAGATCAACAGTCTCAGCTTTCTGCCAGCTGCAGGGGATTCCTCTCAGGACTGGGCGACTATGTAACAGTTCGCTTCTAGCAACAGGGGCAACAGATAAACTACCTAGACACCTAATCCCCCACCTGCTCCGGTTTCGGGGTGTTGTTGGACATAGTCGTGTGGTTGGTTAGCCACAGTTAGCCAATAACCATGATTCCAGCGTAGCCGCGATGTCGTCATCCACAATCAGCCGGTTAACCCTGCACGACCCTCCAGTTTACTCCGTTGCGAAACAATTCCCCGCCGACACCCTCTGCTTCCAACATTGTTTCCAATTCCCATCTAATCCACCTACACTGAGAACAAGCCAGATTACAAGCAAGACATACCATGACTCTAAATCCCCAATTCGCCGGCCAGAAGCTCTCCCTGAGTGGAGGCACGGAGACCAAGCACACGCTGGAATTTTGTTAGTGTGATGATATTCTGGTCCCATCTCCATCACATATCTCTCCATCCAATGCAATCCAATGGCTATTAAATCTAAGGAAAACTAACACCAAAATCTCCAATCAAAATAGACCTGGACTATGTCTGCCCCGTACGATAACCCCCATTTTCCACCCCCATCCATCCCATATATGAAGACACATACATATGTACAGTACGCCTTCGAAGCCCCAGAAACTAGACACTAACCCCGCAACCTCCCTCCCTCAGTACTCCGCCAAATTCTTCAACACCTTCTACCCAACCATAACCCCACTCCTCTCCAAAAACCCCCACTACCGCGACAGTCTCCAAGTAATCTTCCGCCAGCAGATCCAACCCTGGCACCCCTCCTCAACCCTCACCCACGAAGCTGGCGTAGCCGTCCTAAAGCTTGCGCCGGAGAAATTCTGGCCCTTCAGCGCCGCGCTCTTCGCCAGACAGACGGAGTTCTTTGATGCGAACGTCGTTAACGAGACGAGGAATGAGACGTATGCGCGTCTGGCGAAGATTGCGGCCGGCGTCGGGGTCGATGAGGCAGCGTTGCTGAAGATGTTGGCTGTTAGCGATAAGCCGGATGAGCAGGGAGACCTTAATGGGGGGAATGGGGTAACTGGGGATTTGAAAGTTATGGTGAAGGTGTGTTTTTCTTATTTGTTTTCTAGCTACTCCTTACTTATTCTCCTTTTCCGTGATGGTTGCTAATGTGATATTTTTTTTTTTCTTTTTTTGCTTTTCGGGCAGGCTTCGCGGCTGATTGGGGTGCATTTTACGCCTACGGTATATTTTGATGTAAGTAAACTTTGGAGAGTTTTGGCAATTGTGCTCCATTCCCCCCCCCCCCTTTTTTTTTTTTTTTTTTTTTGGCAGTAATACAGTTGTTATACTAACTCGTCGGATGCTGCTGGATTATAGGGCGTTGAGGAGAGAACCATTAGCAGCAGATTTACGGCAGAACAATGGGAGAAATGGCTTGAGAAGAATGTTGTGTGATTAAAACATTGACTCAGGAGAAATTAGGATGAAAAGGAAAGGAGCGAGGAAATTGGGGTTTTGAATTCAAATGTTTTCGTTCTAGCAGGAGAGGGGAGTGTGGGTTGATGTGTGTATCACATAGTACAAAAAGAGACAAAAAAAAACCATAGAGATGGGGTGGGTTGTTCTGCGGTGTCTGTGACGCTTGTTCAGAAGAGAAATATTGAGACCTCTGTAATTACACAACTTAATAGCAAAAATTGAGAGGACATGGAATAAATATCTATTTGATGTGGACATTTGGAACAGATAAGGGAAAAGAACAAGTAGTCGCGAACAATATGATAAGGGAATGCAGAAAAATTGCCATTTATAATTCCCAAAGTCGATTGGTTGTTGTTTGTTGTAGTGGTGAAATTCGAAAAACGGAAACTGATCATTTCGATCTATATTACTCTTGAGGAAACTAGCTTTAATGTAAGAACGCCCCAGCATACATCATTAAGGTTTTGGTTTCTTGTGTTTGGAAGTTGAAGGGGGAGGGCGGACAATCAGACTGTCATTAATTGGTGGGAGGCTGGTAGTTAATTGGTCGCCTGTATGATGCCAACCAGTCAGTAATAAGATATAGGAGGTAATGATATAACACAGAACGTGCAGATTGGAGGAACTCATGACGACAAACTCACTTGAAGAGCAAAATGTGTGGTTCTGGCTCGTGGACTTCGTAGTGTTCCCAGCCCAAGCTCTGAAAGAAAAAAAGGCAAAAAAGAAACGCAGAGTGTCAGCATGTTCCACGATGAGAAATCTAGATGGCACTTTTGCGCCAGGCAGGATCAAAATACCTGCGTAATGCCCAGGCCTCTCCACTCTTCCTCCCACAGCAACTTCAGCGTTCCCTTGGAGTGGTCGAAATAGTCGGTGGGTATGTTCTTTAGCATATTTTTGGGTAGTTGGACATGACGGTACTCGAATTCGCTATCTGAATATCTGTACAAATGGGTGTGTCAGAAGGGCAAATGTGTCTTTGGTGGGTGGGATATTCTTTTTAAAAATAAATAGAATGGGTTTCTTCCACGTATAAGCAAAGACAGACCAATACATACCTTGAAGAATAATGTATGCCTTCAATAAACTCGTCCAGTTTCTCCCGCTCCGGCTCGAGGAGTAGCCGGGGCTTCTTGTTCCTTCGAGAGTAGTCGATATCCATGATCACGAAAGAACGTAGTTGCTGTCTGTTTTTCAAAACAGAGGGATCCAAATTAGGTACCTATTGTAGGATGGGTATAGGTATAGTTTTCTCTGTCGTATAGGATTCTTTTCAGGTGAAAGGGGGCCTGCCCAGCTGGGATGGATGTATTGAGCGCGGGCAAGTGGTTTTTAGACACGTGCGCAACGTACCAATTCAATCGTAAAATAGGACTTTGGTAGAGTGCGGGAAAGAATGAGTGCGGACAGTGTCTTTCCTCCAGCAGGGAAAGGAGGAAGAGATTAGAATGCAAATGAAGGACCATGCGAAGCGGGACCACGGGAGGAAGAGGCGAGTTGTATGTGTACGCTTCCTCTTCAAGCGGCAAAAACAGGCGCAACGCGGGTTGTTTAGTTCCTAACTCACGGGCCGTGACTGGAGAAGGAGGCCTAGTTGGTGTCCAGTAGCAGTAGTTGTTGTAGGAAATGCCAATGGCAAGTATATGCGAGAGGGGTTGGGTTGACAAGTTCTCTCACAGCGAGCAGTGAGTAGTGAGTAGTAGTGAAAGTGTGCTAGCAGTAAGTGAGCGGTTCGAGTAATCATTTGTTGTTTCGGTGATTTGGGGAATAGCGTATTTCAACTGTACCACCACACGAACTTAGTCTGGGAAATTACACATTGTGTTTGTCTTGTTTGTTTGTCTTAGAGGTGGTCGCTCGTACTGAATTTGTGTGATGGTACAAAGTGGCCAAATTCGCGGTGAAATATATCATAATAAGTAATGTATTTCTCCACTCCCTTAATCGCTTCGTTCACATGATATCAAAACTCCGTTGTTCTATATACTGGTTTGCTTGGCTTCATCATACAGTGTCCTATTGTACTGTAGGAATATCACAAATATTCGTGATGCTGGGAAGTTGATGGTTTGATTACGTTAGTGTACTGTACTGTACTGTACTGTACTGTATTTGTTTATTGGAGCTATTTCCTGTGTATCTGCGCGTATTTGACATATGAACATGTACCCATAAATAACACGTGTATTATGATACCGTAATATTGCAACACTTCCACGCAAAACTATCACCGAGATTCGTACTATACCGTACCGAACCTCACCCCATACTCTCCAATACTCCGTGTGTACTCTAACCTCGTCATGTCGCGTTGCAGCATCATCGTCTTGTTCTCGTTCAGTTACGCTGCGACATCCCAACCTCTGCCCATTTTGCGCCAGCCACGCCCTCTGCTACTGTGCCGTCTCCCGCCGCATGAGCGCTGCTATCACCCGCGACTCTTCATGTCTAAATCCCGCCTACCCTCGGTCCACCCAATTGCGAACCTCACTCTTGCCCCTTGCCCTGGCTTTCTCGTCGCAATATCCCCAAAGACACTCCGCAAGCATGACAACTAAACGGCGGGGAACGATGGCGGGGTCTCCAGAAGGCCCCACAAAGGGCCAGAAACGGCGCAGGACCTCTGTAAGTTTGCCAGTTTGGTGTGGTTTTTTACCATTGTTGTTGTTCTCAACCGGTGCTGGGAATTGGTTGTTGTCAGGGAGAACCGAAATACGATTGACCCTCTCCCCGGCTCCGGCTAAATAGCACGCCTCCCCGCATCCCCAAGGTCCCTTCGTGTTCCATCGTGTGCTTTGATCTTAATATATCTGAGCTAAATGTCGATGCCGACTAGACTTATGTCCCCGAAACAGACGAGACCCCTGAGAAAACAACAGAAACAGGTCTAGAACTGCTCGCGCTGATCAAGGAGGCGACTGATAAACAGTATGTAATTGGATGATTTGCATGGGTCGCTCTCCTGGAGATGTTTGTTTAGTAATGCCCCCGTTAACTTATGTACTTCTTTCACGATAGTGGACAACTTGTTGCAACGGAATTTCTCCATCTTCCTAACCGGGTGAGCTCTATTTCAGCTACCAATTAATCCCCTGCCAACTGCGCATCGTAACCTAACCACTGTCATTCAACAGGAAGAAAATCCGCACTATTACAAAGCGATTCGCCTTCCAATTGCCCTGGATACTGTCGAGGTATGATTCAATCTTCCACAAGGGACTCGTGATATGTTTACCTCAAGCACATATTTTGCATTTTAATCACTAACTGATTCCGCGTTTTGGCGATGTTTTAGGACAAACTGAAAAAACGTGAATACCTTTGTTTAACTCCTGTAGAAAGTGACCTCCGGAGGATGGTTAGCAACGCCAAGTATTACAATGACAAAGGATCAATGATTTTTTCCAACGCTGAGCGCATACGGAAATTAGTCGCGAATAGAATGTCTACAATAAACCCCGCATACAACGATCCGAACTACGCACCTTTTGCTACCCCGATACCAGAAGACGAAGAAGAAGTGGAACGGGAAGGAGAAGAAGTCCAGTCCCCGGAACCTGAAGTTAACGAAGACACTAAAGTTGAGGAGGAAAAGTCATCCGCAGTCGAGACACCGGGCGTGGAACAGGGTGACTCCAGTGAGAACGCGCATTTGAATTTTGAGGGGGAAACTTTTGAAAGTGCTCAGGAGAAGATCATTGCTGGAATGATTCGATTAAAGGATTCAGAGTGAGATTGTTTGCTTTGCATGCAATTGCCTGCGACCAAAGTTGCAACGCTATTGTAATGTGCTAACTCAACATTTAGTGGCGAAGAAGTCTTTTTCCCGTTCCTCAGTATGCCGGATCGGAATTTATACAAGGAGTACTATGAAATCATAAAGCATCCCGTGTCCCTCAGGGCCATCCTAAAACTGGTCCGAGGCACAGACGGACGCAAGAATTCTACCAAAACCACTCCTTTCAAGACGTGGGATGCGTTCGAGGAGGAGGTCAGCTACATCTGGCGCAATGCCAGAGAATTTAATGAGGATGGCAGTGAAATATTTGCCCTTGCTGGGTCGCTAGAGGTAATTCTGCGACAAGTGGATTTCTTTCCGAGGTATAGTGTAGGTTTCACTTTCGCTAACAAGGTGCTAGGAATACTTCCATCGGCTTCTTGCGGAAGCACGAAAGCAGGTCCCTGAACCCGCCCCGACGACAAATGGGGGTAGTCCTACTCCACGCATTTAGCTGCGTGTAGGAACCACAAAGACCCCAGAACCAGCGCCGCAGAAACTCACGTTGCGATTTCCTGGGAAAACTGGTGATCAACAGCCATCGGCGGATATAGAACACCGACAGGGTGGTGTTTTGATAGATAATGAAGCGCTGCGCAGGCAGCAGGAACATGTCAAGGCAGCCACATCTAATGGACTAGGAGTACCGGAACGGCCGACACCGCCCACAAGAACGCTGAGAGATCGATCTGGTTCTGGGACCAGGGCGGTTTCGACGCGAAGCACGCGATCACAGGAGCAAGAGCAGCAGCAACAACAACAACAGCAACAACAACAACAGCAGCAGCAGCAGCAGCAGCAGCAACAACAACAACAACAACAACAACAACAACAACAACAACAACAACAACAACAACAACAACAACAACAACAACAACAACAACAACAACAACAACAACAACAGCAACAGCAACGAAGCAATGCGGGGTCATCGCCTGTGCGGCCTTCGTCTGCGGCCAAAGTTGAAGGTACAGGGTTATCAACTCCTACTCTCAGGAGCAGGACGATCCAGGAACATATAAAAGCGCCTCCTAACGCACGAAATCGCACAGTTTCCGGACCAGCTGAACTGTCTAGCAAAATGCCACCATCGACGGATGCCCCGTTGGTTCAAAAAAATAACTCAGAGACTCTGTTACGGGCGTTTAATTCTCGTTCATATCCCTATCCATTTACACCCACAGCGGTGCCGCGGTTGAACCTGAGATTACGAAAGCCAGGCCGAGGTAAGGTAACCCATAGATATCTCTCTATATATATTGAAGCCAGAGAAAATGGCGCCCCTAAGAAAAAGAAAGAAAAGAAAAGCTGGCCCAAACAAATTACTAACCACTTAACCCATGCCACCACCATTAGCCGCCCTCCTCTCCAACGTCCGATTATCCAGCCACCCAAACCTCAACCTCTCCAAATCCATCCTCCTCGATATTCCCCCCTCCCCAACCCTCACCAGCCAATCCATAACCATCAATCTCCCCGCCAAAGCACACGTCATCTGCATATCTCCCACAATCGCCGTCCCCAGCCCTAACCCCAGCTCCAGCTCCAGCTCCAGTCCTCTACAGCGCCAAACACAACTCACCGTCACGGCTGGCGGGCATCGGATATCGCCGATGCTGTCGCCGGCGCGGACGATGGATCCGACAAGGCCGTATTATGAGGTTAGGCTTGGGGTAGGGATTACGAGGATTGATGTTGAGATGAGTGCTGGTCCTGCGCGGGGAAGGGTAAGTCCGGCTTTAAGTTCGGTTGTAGGTGCAGGTGCAGGTGCAGGTGGAGGGGGAGGTGGAGGGGGAACGAGGGCTCCTGTGCAGGTGGAGAGTGAGTATGAGCGGCTGACGGTTTATGTGAATTTGATGAGGAGGTAGTTGTGGAACCTTTGATTTTGGGGGGTTGGAGAGGAGAAGGGGGAGGAGGGGATTAACGGTGTCCCTTCCAAGTTATATTGGATTGGATGCTAAATTCTCCTTTACACTTCAGTCATTCCCGTGTCTTCTTACCCTATTCTGTTGATTAATTCCTCCCCTCCCCGCCAACCTCCTTTGCCATGTTCTCGCAGCGACATGAGGCGTATATGATATGGTCTACTGGTTTTGGTAGGTGGCTGGACTTCTTTTCGATTCAAGGCGGCGGCCACATTCTGCAGGCGTTCAAACCACTTACTCGGCAACTTCTCCGTGCTCCGATCTGTACCCTTTGTTTTTGCTACTGTATTAATTATCAGTTATTAGCTAGTTGCCATGTGCGAGGGTTGCCTCAGTGCACCCTTGTTGCCACTGGTCTTTCCCTTCTTCTTCTTCTTCTTCTTCTTCTTCTTCTTCTTCCTCTTCCTCTTCTTCTTCTTCTTCTTCTTCCTGTATTATAATTAAACTACCTAGGGAAAATTCACCTCAGGTTCCACAGTAATATCACTGTTTTTGCCCCTCGCGTTGCCCCCTTTGCCTTGACAGTCTGATGACTAAGCTATCATCGTAACTAGCCCCAAACAGGCTTAGCGCTGCTCTCAAGGACCTTGGTTCGTCACGTTTTTCCTGGTCCAAGCTTTGGGCCTCGATAAATGAGCCGCTGGGGGATAAAAAAAAGTCAAAGAGCCAAAAAAAAAAAAAAAAAAAAAAAAAAAAAAAAAAAACCATCGACTAACCAAAAACCTCGACATCAACACCGAGTTCATTTTCTCTTCTTTGTCTGCTTTCGTCGTCTTTTCCCTCTTCACTCTTCCTCTTCCTCTTCTATTTCTTCATCCAACCTCCAGTTCGTCCTCTCTTTTCTCTTCCTCGTCCATTCTCCCCCTCCGCTCACCGCTTCTTCTTCCTATTTGATTTCGGTAGAAAACGGCGTGAAATAAAAAGATAACACTCACATTTTTTCATCATGTCTTCCGACGAAGTTTATGAGGGTGCCATCGGCATTGATCTTGGTAAGATTGATTGATATAGTTATTGCCTATCCAAGCTCCAACCCCACATATCCCCTTCGGATGCCAAACACAATTTTATTAATCCTCTGTAAAGGAGGAAACAGAGAAATCGAAATCGAAATCAAATAATAATAATATTATTAATAATATTATTATTAATAATAAAAGTGCAATAACTAATATCTTCGTTTCTGCTTAGGCACCACCTACTCTTGCGTTGCCAACTACGAGGGCAACAATGTCGAAATCAGTATGTGTTTTCTTTCCCACACAAAAAATGACTCCGGCACACAACAATATCTACCACCCACGCACAACTTTGAATATTTAACCCCTCGCCCCACACACTGTACACCACCTATCCAACCGCAATGAAAAACTTCGAGAAGTAAATAGTGGTGCTAACAATGGGTTCTCATCTGCCCACTAAACAGTTGCCAACGAGCAGGGTAGCTTCACAACCCCCTCCTTCGTCTCCTTCACCGATGAGGAGCGTTTGATCGGCGAGGCGGCCAAGAACCAGGCTGCCATGAACCCCCAGAATACCGTTTTTGATATCAAGTAAGTTGTTCTCAATGTTCTTTATTTATTTATTATTATTGTTATTTACTTTTAATATATATATATAAAGAAGAAAACCCCCTTTCGTTAGATTGATTTGCTAATACTTCTGGAATAATAGGCGGTTGATTGGACGGAGATTCGACGACCCCGTTGTCAAGAAGGATGTCGAGTCGTGGCCTTTCAAGGTCGTTGACCAGGGCGGAAACCCCGTTGTCCAGGTCCAGTATCTGGGCGAGACCAAGACCTTCTCTCCCCAAGAGATTTCTTCTATGGTCCTTATGAAGGTGTGTATCTCGCTGCATCTTTAGCTTTTTCGCCATGGGAAAAATCAAATAACTAACAGTCCCCTTACAAAAACAGATGAAAGAAGTTGCTGAGACCAAACTCGCCAAGAAGGTCTCAAAAGCCGTCATCACCGTCCCAGCATACTTCAACGACAACCAAAGACAAGCCACCAAGGACGCCGGTGCTATTGCCGGTCTGAACGTCCTCCGTATCATCAACGAGCCCACCGCTGCCGCCATTGCGTATGGTCTTGGCTCAGGAAGATCCGAGAAGGAGCGCAATGTCCTCATATACGATCTCGGTGGAGGTACTTTCGACGTCTCCCTTCTGAACATCCAGGGCGGTGTCTTCACTGTCAAGGCTACTGCTGGTGATACCCACCTGGGAGGACAGGACTTCGACACCAACCTTCTCGAACACTTCAAGAGGGAATTCGAGCGCAAGACCAAGAAGGATCTTTCTGGAGACCCCAGAGCCCTCCGCCGTCTGCGCACTGCTTGCGAGCGTGCTAAGCGTACTCTCTCCAATGCCACTCAGACCACCATTGAGATCGATTCTCTCTTCGATGGCGAGGATTTTAACTCCCAAATCACCCGTGCTCGTTTCGAGGATCTGAACGCCAAAGCATTTTCTGGCACTTTGGAACCTGTCCAGCAAGTCCTCAAGGACGCTAACATTGACAAGAGCAAAGTTGACGAGATCGTCCTTGTGGGTGGTTCCACTCGTATCCCCCGCATCCAGAAGCTCCTCAGCGACTTCTTCAATGGCAAGAAGCTCGAGAAGGTAAAATCCCCCCAAAAAACTATTTCTTTCATCTGAAAAATGGAGCCTGAAACTAACAAACGATAAAAAAAGAGCATTAACCCCGACGAAGCCGTCGCCTACGGTGCCGCCGTCCAGGCCGGTATCCTCTCCGGCCAGGCCACCTCCGCCGACACCAACGACCTTCTCCTTCTCGACGTCGTTCCCCTCTCCCTCGGTGTCGCCATGGAGGGCAACATCTTCGCCCCCGTTGTACCCCGCGGCCAGACCGTCCCCACCATCAAGAAGCGCACATTCACCACCGTCGTCGACAACCAGCAAACCGTCCAGTTCCCCGTGTACCAGGGTGAGCGCACCAACTGTGAAGACAATACCTCCCTCGGAGAGTTCACTCTCGCTCCCATCCCACCCATGAAGGCTGGTGATGCGGCCTTGGAAGTCGTTTTCGAGGTTGATGTCAATGGTATCCTTAAGGTTACTGCTACGGAGAAGTCCTCTGGTCGCAGTGCCAATATCACCATCTCCAATGCCGTTGGCAAGCTTTCCAGCACCGAGATTGAGAACATGATCAACGGTATGTATATGTATTCAAACCCCACCCCAACTAAACCAGTTGAAAACACTATACCCCCCCCCCCCCAAAAAAAAAAAAAAAAAAACCCTAACTAACCCACTTCTTTTCTCTCTGCCAACAGACGCCGCTAGATTCAAATCCAGCGACGAGGCCTTCAGCAAGCGCTTTGAGTCCCGCCAGCAGCTTGAATCGTACATCTCACGCGTCGAGGAGATCATTTCAGACCCAACCATGTCCCTGAAGATCAAGCGTGGCAACAAGGAGAAGATCGAGTCCGCTCTCAGCGACGCCATGGCCCAGCTGGAGATTGAGGATTCGTCCCCCGAGGATCTGAAGAAGAAAGAACTGGCTCTTAAGCGTTTGATTACTAAGGCGATGGCTACGCGGTAAAGCTTCTTCTTCTGCTTGTGGTTGTCTGCGATTTTCGTTGATGTTTCCGGGTTATTTTTTTTTTTTCTTTTTCCTTTGAGGAAGAAAAAGAAAGGGATGATAGACGTTTTCCCCCCCGCTTTGTGGGGTGTCAAGGGCTGTGATGTTGCGCCGTTGTGTGTGCCCCTTGTGTAACTGGCATTTTCTCATATCCTACACGATTCGTTGTCATAATGACCACGACCTTTCATATCCAACCTGCTTGGTTGACTTGGTTGATCCCCTGCCGCAACCTCTGACCAAGATTGAGACGATCGTGTTTTCTCTTCTGTTATTTACCCCTTTTTTTCAAGTTTTGTGAAAATGGGGTCGACATCATGAACTGGACGGACTTAAATTGTTTCGTTTTATTTTCATGTCCCTTTTTTTTCCCATGTCTTAGCCGTCTCGTACGTAACTAGTCTTTTTTTCTCCACTTAACTTTTTTGTCGTTTGATTTTGTTTTTCACGGCCTCATAGAAAAATTTTGAATTTTTTTTTTTTTTTTTCCCTGAAAACATATCTTTTTATTTCTCTTGTTCTCAGAAGTAACTTGAATAAAATACATACATCCAAATGTACCTTGGTTGCAGTAGACGGAAAGCAAATTTTCTTCTTGCATTAATAACATTTCTGCCTTTTCTTTCTGTCAATGTTTTCCTGTCAATCTATCCGTTTGTCAGGAACGTGTGGAATGTGTGAGACCGCTAGAAGTGCAGCAAGCACATTTTCACCAAATATTTCACCGGCTCATTTCGTCCACCAATTCCAATAAATCATTCTGGTCCTCTCTTCCTCCATTCCCTCATCAACAATTAAGAGCTGCTTTTCACGACAATCTTCTCTTGGAGCAGGCGAGGCATCCTGCGACTCGTGGAGACTTCCTACCCCTTTTTCTCACCCATCTTGCCTGAGCGTTTGTAATATTGAGAATGATCAGGTAGAGAATGACAACGAAGTTGTACACACTATGAGCTATTCTCAACGTCGAGTCCCGACCTTAAGTACCGATAGTTGAGTGTCTTGTCTGGCAGATGATGCTTTGATAGTTTTTCTCAGCTTCAATGACCTGATCCATAAATCACCATCGGCTTCCTGTGCCTCACCTTCGCCACCGTGTAGTCCTAACAGGATCAAACTCGTTGGTTACAGCTGCACTGCTTCTGCGACCGTTTGGCCATGTTGAAGGCTGACAGAAAAACTTCGCGCAGAACGGCCTGACGGATATGCAAAGGTCGGCCTTTTTCAGGTTGAATACTAAATGAGCGGGCAATTCGGTGTCTTTCGCAATCTCGCACACGGACAACTAGTTGCTTCGCTTCATCAGTTCTTGCGTCCAACTCAGGCGCCTCTCCATCCACTTTGTCGACGACAACTACGTGACACGGTTCATGGCCTGTCTCGGCACTTCCATCTCGCTTCCGCATCTTGAACAGAACACTTCGCCTTATCGGACCTGGGGCTTGACTTCCGCGCCAATGCCATGAGCACGCAACTATTCGCGTTCCTATCCTATCGTCCCACTCCACAGCACCTCGATGCGTCCATCTGTCAAGTTTAGAAGTTGACCGACATGGCCACAGGCAGGGCGCATTTTGTTGCACTTCGGATGATTTGCAGCTGGAAACGTGTGAGCGTTTGGAACGCGTGAGTCTCTGGTTGTGGAAAGGATGGCCGCTCAAGCCGGTGACGTTTGAACTGGGGTTCTGCGGCACGAAAGGACCGGGCCTGTAGGATGGGAGGATAGTGGGACTCCGGAAGATGTGAAAGTGAAAATTAAGTATATAACTTAGTCAAAGACGACGTTGGTGGTTGAGAAGAATGAGACAAAGGCAGCATAGTGTAAATAGATCGAAAGGTTTTGCCAGAGGGGCACACTTGGAATATTTGATTTCCATTGCTGACGATTTTGGGGCGAGGGTAGTTTGGTTAGTATTTATTTATGAACAGGAGAAAGATTTATTTTATTTGTGGGTTGAGCGAGGTGGAGTGATATTTAAATACTTTATTTTGATGCTCAGATTGTTTGTCCATTGAGATAAATATTTATCTGGAGGCAGGAATAAATATCCATGAAGAGAATAAAATTTGCACCAATATATCAAAGGTATATGGATATTTGCAATGATATATCTATCCCTTGGTGTTGCTGTCGGTATCTCCAAAATCCAATTCCTCCTCCGTTCCAACCTTAAACATTTTAAATATTGAACAACCTCAAATTCTCCCCCTTAGACATATTTATTTACCACCACACCACATCCACACCGACCATGTCTCCCGTCATCCGCTCCTTGAATTCAGAACTCCTTTCTTTTCTGACCTCCAGAACCGCAAGTGCCAATGGCTCCGTGCGCTCGCTATCCATCCCCCTGAGAACCTGGAGCTCTATCATCACCAAGAGCTCTAGATCGACTCTCCCAGTATTTTTGCACAACGCCTCCCTCATTCTTCCTCGCACAACCATAACCTCCCTCCGCCTACAATTTTTCTCTACAACCTCTCATCTCTCCAAGAAAAAGGACAAAGGCAACAAATCCCTGTCGCGAGATGCGGACAAGGGAGCTTTCAGCGGCGGTGCGGAAACACTGGACCCAGACGACCCATATGGCTTCACCCAGCTGGACAATGACATCGCAGAGGCGGTTAGAAAGCTGAAAGATGATATCTCGAAGCTTCGGGCAGGCGGGAGATTTAACCCAGGAACCATTGAATCATTGCGTGTGGCGGTTACGAAGGGTGATGGCAAGGGGAGCAAGGAGACGGTGAGACTGGGGGAGCTGGCACAGGTTATTCCCAAGGGTGGGAGGATGTTGACGTTACTAGTGGGAGAAGATGAGGTGTGCCATATCCTCCTCTTTTTTATTTTTATTTTTATTTTTATTTTTATTTTTTTTATTTTAACTTCCTACAAGACCAATTTTGTCCTATCTCAAAGCGTCGATTCCCTTGTCGTTTTTAGATACTAACAAATTCTAAAATTCTAGTACGTAAAACCCATAGCCTCTGCCCTGCTCTCATCCGACCTGTCCCTTAACCCACAAAGGGACGCACACAACAGCCTTCAGCTGAATGTGCCAATCCCTCCTCCAACCAAGGAGTCACGCGAACAGTCTGTCAAAGACGCGAAAGCGGCTATGGAAAGAGCTTCCAACGCCGTGCGCAATGCTCGTGGCGCCATTAACAAGAAGTTGAAGCATATGGGGGTCAAGAAGCTTGTGAGGCCGGATGACTTGCACAAACAGATAGAGAAAATGGAGAAGGTGGCAGAGAAGGGTCAGAAGGAGGTTAAGGAAGTTTTTGAGGCGGCGAGGAAGGCATTGGAGGCCTGATTGTTCAATTCTTCTTTTAAATCGGTGGTGATGTATGTGGATGATATGCCAGCGTTTATACAGCTGCCAGCTACTCTATCTGTTTCTCCACATGTTGGGATACACGGATGATAGAGGGCTTCGCACGTCATATAGGTTGGATGCTAATTGAGCACAGGAAATAGAAAAGAAATAGATATGAAACGGTTATCAAGACGGAAATGTAGTATACAATTTATGAATCTTAGATATGGCAGGTTTAGATGAAGAAGGAAAAAAAGAAGGTAAGAAATAGAAAGAACCCGATCCTTTGCAAAGTTTGTTCTAGGCTTTCGGTCTCGCAACCTTAGGTTGCGGCAACGACTTAGAAAGTGTCTCCAAAAACATCGTCTTTTGCGATGCTTGCCACGTCGAGTTATTCGTCAAATTCCTTATAACATCTTGCATAACTGGATGTCTAGTAGCATGCATCTTCATCCACTGGGCCTTCTCTGACTTATACTCGCCCGAAACCAGCCTTGAAACTAACTGTTTCTTTTGTGTCTCGTTCATGGGTTGGAACGACATATCCTCCGGCTCGACCACAGTCCCCTTGCGATCCGTCAATTTATCCGCACGTTCAGTCTCCATTTTCCGTGCCAACTCCACCGCTTCATTTTTCTCCTCATCGCTATAGAAATACGTCCATTTTCCCTCATGGATGCGTTTCGCTAAGAGATCCATCGGCTCGAAGCCGTTGGGGTATCGCTCACTCATCCATGCTAGGCGTTCATGCAGCGCCTCCTTGGGACCGGTCTCACCCATTGGTAGAGCCGGCCACGTTCGTTGCAGGTTATCAAGATTGTAACCGTGCGGGATATAGCGGACGGGTTTCGGGCGCTCGCGCTCCCACTGTTCGAGATAAGCCTTTTCCTCAGCTTCCTGTTCCTCCTTGGACATTTCGCGATGGCCGGTCCACGCACCACCTCCGCTGTCGCTCTTCGACGATTTGCCCTGTCTCTGGCGACGGGCTGGACGGATGGTTGCAGGACGCTTGGGAGTCCTGAGTCGGCTGATATTACTTCCTGGTTTTCGAAGTGTGGCAGGTGCGCGGAGGAGGTTGGTAGGCTTTCCGCCTGCTTGAGTAATTTCGGCACCTAGAGCACGGGCGTCGAGTGGTCGACGGTGCTGTTGTTGGAATGGCTGCTGTTGACGGGTGGTTGGTCTACCTTCAACTATACGACGGATGAGAGGGGTGGGAGAGGAGGATTGATAAGAAGCGTCATCAGTCTGCCTTCTTGCAGTGCCACGGGAGGAATTTAGACGGTCTGGCTTTTTAAACCTAGTGATTAGTATATATGCTGTTCCTTACTTTGCAATCTCCGCAGTTGTGGGAACACACCTCTTGAATCATCGTCATTCTCTGCTGCTCCGCTAGATGACGAAGAAAACAGTCGAGCAGATATAGCTGTTGCTGCTCCTTGATTCCATTTTGTCACGGCGGAGTCAACAACTGAGGTCCACAGGCGTGCGGACATGCCATAGGACTTGAACATCTTCGTATGTTATTCACAGTATTGCCCTATGGAATATGAGAAGAAGTGGGAGCCCAAGCTACCCCACCGGCAAAGGGGCTGGGATGGGTAACGAAAACTCGCCCAATGAATGCCAATGGATGGATCTTAGTGTGGGTGATGGGAAGTTGTATCGAAGAATGTCGCTGAAGCCGGCAAATCTTTTCTCAAACATCACGTGATAATTACAACAACTCGATAAATAGCGTCAACCTCAATCATTAACATCTCTCCTCAGTCTAGGATAATTTCATATCTAAATCCAACAACAGAACCAAAGCAAGTCAAAACTAAAAGCTAAAAGGAAAAATTAAAAGGAAAAAGGAAAACAAAGTCAACAGAAAAACAGAGGAAGAAAATATGCTCCGCCGAAAACCCACCGCCATTACCATATCAACCGAAGACCTAATCGCCTTTGAAGAAGAACGCCAACGCCAACAACAGCTCAAAGAAAACAACCAGCAAAACAAACTAGCAAACAGCACAGGTGGCAGTAGTATCGGTGCCGGTTTCTACTCTGGCTCCGTCGCGTACGATCCTAACGATGAGCTGAAACCGCTGCCCGGCGATAAGGCGAGGATTGTCCGAACGCGCGATGAAAGGATTGGTTTGGGAAGAACGGGATGAGCCGCCGGCTTCTGCGTCTTTTTGATTGGGGGATTGTTTTTTCTTTTGGCAGTATAGGGTTGACTTGATAGGAACGATGTGGTTTTTGTCTTTGGCTCTCTGAATGACATCGTTGTGGTGCCCGTGCAAGTAGTTCGGTTTCTGCTTTGATGGAGGTTTGCGATGGGAGGAGGGTGCCATGCGGGAAGTAAAAGAGGGAAAGAGGGGGGCAGGGGCGGAAGCGGTTGAATGGTGCACGGTGTATGATCCAGCTATACCGATTCCAACGATGTTCCTTGCCTCAAAACAGAGCATCAAATCGCCAACGACCGGGCGCATAGCGGGGACCTTGTCTCGATACGACGGCTTCCTTCTACATATGCGCTAATGGTTAGAATCCGCTTTGGTTTCGTTGCTGAGAACTTTTGGCAACCTGTCCTGCTGCTTGAGTGCAGTATATAGCACAACGTTTATTCGTTCGCGGTGGTGGCCATCGCAACCTTCATTGTCTCTACCATGCCAACAAGGAGCCATATTGGTGGGGAGGGGGATTACTTCGTTAGTCCCGCGGTCTCGAAAGGATGAATGAGGGAAGGACGGAAGAATCTACAGCTGTGTCGCGCGACATTCTGTCTCGGGGCCCTGGGGACGTCTAGCATTTTTCATCGACTTAACGGGACCTAGAACGTGTATAGACTGGATTGGTTATTAGGCAGGCTTGATCGTCAAGAAGTTTTCTCTGCCGCCGCTGGAACATTATATTTCCTCAACATAGGGATCATGCCGCACACCTCTTAGTTAAATTGTGATGTGAATTACGTTCCGTTACTCCAGCGTTGCCGTTGGAGACACCTGATTATGGAGAATGACGACGGAGGTGGTGGGGCGAGAGCGGGTTGCTCCCTGGTTGTCTGTATAAGCAGATGTCACGTTGGAAATTTCTAGGCTGGGATTTGACAGAAAAATATGCTGCTGTAGCTTGATGTCTCCAGAGGAATAACGGGCATGAGGGAACACGAAGCTGGAGCAACTTTTACATACCTTCCAAACCACAACTCCCCCCCTCCTACCCTCTCTCTCCACGTGATGCCCTCCCTCAACCTATTTCAAGGTCTGGAATGAGTTGAGGTTGTGTCAGTTGTAAAGTCATTCATCATCCAAAATTCAATCCAATTATCGGAACAAATCTTGAATAGCATGAACCTTTTCTCTAAAATACACGAAATAATTAAAACTAAGACGAGTCAAATCACAGATAACCTCCCTTTCAAACCTATAAAGCAGCATTATTTCTCTTTTCAAACAAAAAGTGGGTAAGTAAATATCACTGTGTTCGAATGAGACAAGATAGAAAACCCATGAATACATCCCCACATATACATACACATATGTATATTTCTATGTCTGTGTTACGTCATTCGATCAATC